TGAAAGGGGGTAAGGGAGCCGGGATTTAGGGGTAAATGAAATGTTAAAAAACAGGGGGGGATATAGTTTTGGGGTGGTTGGGGCAATTATTTAATAAATGTATGGAAGAGGGTAAAGGGACCCGGGATTGGCAGAGAGCAGCATAGTTCCTTTGTATAAAAGGGAAAAGGGGTAAAAAGAGAGTGCAAAAAAATTTAGGGGGATAAGTTGTTGAGTATACTGGTAAAGTGTATGGTAGAGTTATAATTGAAAGACGGAGAATAGGATAGCAGTGAACAAGGAGGGTTTAAAAGGTGGGGGTGTGTGGACCCGGTGTTTACGTGAAAAAAATATAAGTGAACAGTTTTAGATAAGGTAAAGAGGTCTTTGTGGCATTTATGGATTTGGAAAAAGGGATTGACAGGGGGGTAGGGGGGCAATGTGGGGAGGGTTTCAAGTGTTTTGGGGAGGGGGGGTAGGTTATGGGGAAAATGAAGAGTTTTTTCGGGATAGTAGGCTCAAGTTAGAGTATGTAGGAAAGAGGGAAATTTTTTCCCAGTAAAAGTAGGCCCTTTGACAAGGTGTGGATGTCACCGTGGTTTTTTAAAATATTTATAGGGGGTTGAAAAAAGGGAAATAATGCGAGGGTTTTGGCAAAAGGCGTGGAGTTAAAAGTAAAGAATCACACACAAAAGGGGGGTTTTCACAGTGCTCTTTGCTGATGACACTGTGCTCTTTGGGGGATTTGAAGAGAAGTTTCGGATTGGGGGATGAATTTTGGTAGGGTGTGCAAAAGAAGAAAAAATTAAAAAGGTGAATACAGGAAAGAGTAAGGTTATGGGTAAAAAAGATTAGGTGTGAAAAATTGGTATCAGATTGGGGGAGAGAGTATGGAGGGGTGAACGATTCAGATATTTGGGGTGGACGTGTCACGGATGGGTCTATGAAGTAGGGGAATATATAATTGATGGGGAAAAAAAAAGTGGTGGGCCTTAGGAGTTGTGGAGACAAAGAAATTTTTCCCTTTGGAAGCAAGAGTGGAATGTTGAGGTATAGTTTTACCAACGTCTTATATGGGTGGGCGTGGGGATGAATGTTGCGCGAGGAGAAGGGGAGGATGGAGATGTCATGTCTGAGGGCAATGTGTGGGGTGAATATAAAGCAGAGAATTCGTAGTTTGGAAGTTAGGAGGAGGTGCGGGATTACCAAAACTGTTGTCCAGAGGGCTGAGGAAGGGTTGTTGAGGTGGTTCGGACATGTAGAGAGAATGGAGCGAAATAGAATGACTTCAAGAGTGTATCAGTCTGTAGTGGAAGGAAGGCGGGTAGGGGTTGGCCTAGGAAAGGTTGGAGGGAGGGGGTAAAGGAGTTTTGTGTGCGAGGGGCTTGGACTTCCAGCAGGCATACGTGAGCGTGTTTGATAGGAGTGAATGGAGACAAATGGTTTTTAATACTTGACGTGCTGTTGGAGTGTGAGCAAAGTAACATTTATGAAGGGATTCAGGGAAACCGGCAGGCCGGACTTGAGTCCTGGAGATGGGAAGTACAGTGCCTGCACTCTGAAGGAGGGGTGTTAATGTTGCAGTTTAAAAACTGTAGTGTAAAGCACCCTTCTGGCAAGACAGTGATGGAGTGAATGATGGTGAAAGTTTTTCTTTTTCGGGCCACCCTGCCTTGGTGGGAATTGGCCAGTGTGATAATAATAAAATATAATAGTGTCCACTCATTACTTACCTTAAAATGTCTGTAGTTTTAATGTAGAGTGAGAGGTGAGTAAACAAGATTAAATGAATAAACGAAAGAGAGAATGAGGAATGTAGAATGTTCACGAGTTATGTAAACAAACGTTGTTGTTGTTGTTGTTACCAGCCCCGACACGAACGGTTCCTGTTCACTGTCAAGCCGACCGGAAAAACATCTCATATTTGTTAATTTATATGTTATGTAGCATGTTTATTATATAATTTTGAAAAAAAATCATGGATGGATTAAGCAAAATGTCTATATTAACGTTTTATACACATTTAATGCACCTCAGTGATTATTATTGCTATTATCATTATTAATATGGCAACTTCAAGGCCAAGTACACTCTTAATGAGTGGCTCTGAGACAGACAAGCAGACAAAGACACACACAGGAGCTCGGACTCGACCCCCGCAACCTCAACTAGGTGAGTACAGGTAGACAGAAAGACAGACACACAGGCAGACACAGGTAGACAGAAAGACAGACAGGTAAACAAACACACAGGTAGACAGAAAGACACACAGGTAGACAGAAAGACAGACACACGGGTAAACAGAAAGACAGACACACTAGTAGACAGACACACAGAGATACAGACAGATATACAGGCAGACAGATACAGACAGGTTTATGTGCAACAGTGAAAACAAGTAGAGAGTTCGAGAGTAAGAGCCTTTCTTGCCACAATCTCCAGTGCAAGATTCAGACTTCATCATAGGGGCCATTGTGAAATTTACTGTCCAGTTAGTACAGTTAATACAGTATGATGCTGCTGATAGGGCAGGGTTACTCAAACTGATGCTGCCTGCATGACACATTGCCCCCGCGAGTATTGTCAAATATCGTACAGTGGTGTGCATCAGCCGGCCAGCCCAGCTGCCAGATGCACGGTCGTAAGTCGAGTGGACGTATGTAGAGCAGGTCGAAAGTCGGATAACACCGAGCAGTTCGACGGAGGTATGAAGGGGATATGGTATACAAATACCATTCTCTTATCCCTGTCTTGGGGGCTTATATTAGAGAAAACGGAGTGTAGCACAGGACTAACTGTGATATACACTCGTACTGCACCATAAACCTGAAACAAAAAAGTTATTTTCTCTGTATAGATTATCACACATAGCAGCATATGTATAGAGAACCTAGGATAACTCAAAAAAGTCAATGTGGCTTATTTTTAGTACCTGGCTTGGGTTAGTCATATATGATTTTTGGTAAATATTCGATTCCCAGCCATTGTAGAAACATTAGGCGTGTTTCTTTACACCTGTTGTCTATGTTTACCCATCAGTAAATGGGTACCTGGGTGTTAGTCAACTAGTGTGGGTGTTATCCTGGGACACTGACCTAATTTTCTTGAAATACTCTGCATAACAAGCGGCTTACTATATAGTAGTATGTCACTGATGTCAGCTAGGACTGTATACCTTGTACATGTACGTGTAGTAAATAAAGATATTATTATTATTATCATAATTATTATTATTATTATTATTATTATAATATTATTATTTTCTCAGTTGTTTGTTGGGTTATTCTTATTCAAACTTGGGCAGTGTATGATGGAATGATACTTCTTAACATACACCAAAAATGAAAGAAATCGGACCATAAATAGCGGAGTTCACTTCTCAACCATTAGCGGCCGCTTAGCGGTATGTTTTTGTATGTTTTTTATGGTTATATTCTCATTTTTTCGGTCTCATTTGATACAGTGAAAGGTATATTACTGAAATACATATGATTTTGATTGCTTTCATGACGAAAAGTACCTTGAAATTGCGCTCACAGTAGCGAAAATGTTCTATCTTTAGCGAAGCTCAAGAGTAAACAAATGACGTCACCGTCCAATACCTGTCCGCCTGCTTGTCCAAATTCCAATACGGAGTCAAGAATGGGTTGACATTATTTATACAATTATTACAACAATGCAGCAGTCTGCATAACAGTAAATCTTCTATTTTTTTGTGAATAAAAATTTCAAATGGTGAGCAAGAGTAATATAAGAGGGGCCTGGAGCCATGACTAATGAAAAGAGAAAATGTTATTTTAGTTCCAGGAATGTTTGCATTGTTTATTATGGACCCTATATTGAAATTAGCATATGTTGAAATTTGTGTGAAATTGGCCAAATTGCCAATTTCTGACCACTTTATTGGGTAGTTGAAATAAGTGCATGGGCAGTTTCTTGTACTCAGTTGACAGACTAGAAGTAAATAAGTTTATTCAGGTATACACAAATACAGTTATGTAGATTATCATACATAGCAGTGTATGTAGTATAGAGAACCTAGGATAACCCAGGAAAGTCAGACAAAGTGACTTATTTCCAGTACCTGGCTTGGGCTTGCCATATATGATTTTTTGGTAAAAAAAATTTTTTCTCGGTTATTTGTTGGGCTATCTCATTGAAACTTGGGCAATGTATGATGGAAAGATGCTTCTTAACGTACAACAAAAATAAAAAAGACTGACGATAAATAAAGGAGTTCACTTCTCAGCCATTAGCCGCCTCTTTGCAGTATATTTTTGTATGTTTTTTAATTTGTTGTATTCTCAATTTTTTTGGACTCATTTGATAGAATGGAAGATATGTTACAGAAATAGACATGATTTTTATTGCTTTCATGACAAAAAGTACCTTGAAATTGAGCTCAAAGTAACGGAAATGTTCGATTTTTGCCGATGTTCAATGAACTTTGTGTAAGTCAAGTTGGTTAATTTTATTAAGTGTATTCTAACCTAACCACTCTGTAATCTGGCAAACTCAGTAATCCGGCACACTGCAGGTCCCAATGATGCCGATTTGTGATGGAGGACCTGCATATATATATGTATACATATATATATGCTTGTACATGTATGTGTATGTGACCTGAATGTAAGTAGAAGTAGCAGACGTACCTGAAATCTGTAGTGTTTATGAGACAGAAAAGAGACAATCCTACCATCATGTAAAACAACTACAGGCTTCCGTTTCACACTCATTTGGGCAGGATGGTAGTACCTCTGGCAGTTGCTGTCTACCAACCTACTATTTAGGGAGGTTTTGAAATATGAGAATATTATGGTTGATAGTGAATTTTATAATGCAACTCAAGTATAACTTACCCTTGCATAATGTTTTTAAGCAATGTACCAACTTTAAGCAGTAATATATTTAAGTGCTGTAAATGAAGTTTTTCTTCTAGTATAAGTGAATCGTGTGTGTATATTATTGCATTATTTTTAAGTCCTGTGTATACAGTATCTTAAATTTAAATTTATCTTCAGCCGTGCTCTTGCTCGTGTTCATGTATCCCCGATGGAGGTGGCAGCCAAGGTGTGGTGTATAGCAATCAGTGCCAAACATCCCTTTGGCTCTAAGGAAGCAACAGCATTAACTGAAGCCTTAGCAATTCACTTTGCACTGACAGTTGCAGCCAATGATGCTGCCTTCACCAGAAGAGCCAATAAGGCAGTAAGATCTCTCTTGAAGGATGAGGCACTTCTCAAGTCTGTGTGTCAGGTATGTTGCTATGATAACTCATTAAAAATCTGTGCTTTTTATTTAATTAACTTGATGTATGGATTTCCTATTTGAGTTTGGGGTAAACTCTAACTCTTGGTCTTGTCATATCTGTTTTGAGCCCTTGTATGGAGTCCACTTCCACTGTCATTGTCCATCTCATTTCACTTCTTTACCATTTAAAATGTTAAGGAAAGGTTTGCTGACGTAAGAACATAAGTGATGAATGGTTTAGAAAATCGACAAGTTGAAGAATTGAGACATTTACGCAACACATGGGAATCTTTATTGAAGGAACGTTTTGCCACACAGTGGCTTCATCAGCGCAATACAAAGTAGAAATGGGTAAGGAGAGAAGTTTGAGGTAATCAGTCCCTCAACCTGGAATCAATGTGTTCAGTCCATCACTCTTGTAGGAAATACAAGAGTGATGGACTGAACACATCATTTTCCAGGTTGAGGGACTGATTACCTCAAACTTCTCCTCTCCTTACCCATTTCTACTTTGTATTGGACTGATGAAGCCACTGTGTGGCAAAACGTTTCTTCAATAAAGATTCCCATTTTGTTGCATAAGTGTCTCAATTCTAAAAGAACATAAGAAAAAAGGAACACTGCAACAGGCCTCCTGGCCCATGCGAGGCAGATCCAATTCTCTCATTGGCTTAACCCTTTCATGGTTTCCGACATACTAGTACGGCTTACGCACCAAGGTTATTGACGTACTAGTACCCGTAAATTTTAGCGCCTTCAGATTAAGCGGGAAAAGGCTGGTAGGCCTAGATGTGAGAGAAGGGGTGTGTGCGTGTTCAGTGGGGGCCCGGTAGAAGAAATCTGGGACCCAGTGGTGCATTGTGGAAACGCCATTTTAGTATACCTTGTTCACTATGTACCTTGTTCACTATGTCTCGTGTAAGAAACTCCACACACCTCGGCGAATTGGGACACTTTGTTCCCCAGTGACAGTTCTAATACAGATGGAAGTGCCAGTGAAGATAAATTTCAAGGTTTTGATGAGGTTGTAACTGAAACTAATGACCATAATACCGGTAATAGTGGGGAAAACCCAGACGACCCTCAGCCTTCCACCTCTGCTGCTGGGCTGTCTTGTTCACATTCAGTTGTACCAGAACGAAAGGGGGAAACTCCTATTTACCCATATCCCGGACTCAGATGTGAGCAATGGTGATGATAGTGATAGTGAATATGAACTCCAAGCTCTTGAAAACAATTCCAGTAGTGATAGTGAAGTGGAATATTCTCCAGCGAAGCATCAGTATATATGATGGTACATGCGCTCTGGTAATGTGCCATATACTATTCCAAGGGGAAGGAGTACATCCCGTGGCTGTACAACAGGAACAGACAGTGAAAATGAGGATGATAGTGTTGCAGTTGGGATGAAAAATGTGCATGGTGGTGGTAGTGGTGGTGCCAGCCATGAGCCACCAGCAGTGGGCCATGCTGCCACCCATGCTGCTGCCTCAGCTGATCTACAACAAAGGCCACCATCCCCACCCACCCACCCACCCACCCACCCCAAACCACCACACCAGCCTCCACAACCACAATCACCTGTCAATATCCAGTACCCACCAGCAGACCGCACCTGGGATTGGCAGAAGCTGCCAATTTTGTTCCCAGTCCCATCAGTTTGATGAGAGTCAAAGTGGAATACGGCCATCTTGTACACTTGGAAGCAATGCCACTGAAATGGAATGTTACGCGTTATTCTTTGACAAGCCCCTGATGGAAATTATTGTCAGGGAAAGCAACACGTACGTTGATTACACCATGGCAAACTCAGTACTTTCACCAAAATCACGCCTACACCAGTGGAAGGAGACAACTGTGGCTAAGATGTATCTTTTCTTTGCCACAATGATACTTATGCTACATGTGTATAAGCACAGTGTGAAATCATACTGGTCAACAGACCGCCTGATTGCAACCCCAGGTTTCAGTGATATAATGCGAGTGAATCGATGTGTGCTGCTATTACATATGCTTCACTTCTCAGACAAAACCAGGCCTGACAGAAAAGACAGGTTATATAAGATTAGGAATGTGTGTATCTGAAACAGAAATTCACTATGTATTTTTATCCCTTCAGGAAGCTTGTTATTGATGAGTCTTTGATTCTGTTCAAAGGTACTGTCGTTCAAACAGTATATACCAAGCAAGAGGAAACGCTTTGGTATGAAGTTGATTGTACTTAGTGATTGTTACAGTGATCTTGTATTGGATATTATTGTGTACACTGGAAGTTATTTCATTGCAAAATACCCGAAGTTATTGGGCATCTCTAGTGATGTGGTTAGAACAATGATGGAACTATATCTTGGTAAGGGACATATACAGTGGAACCTCTACTTGCGATCGCATCCACATGCGAGTTTTTCCAAATACGAGCAGTCGATGGGTTGATTTTTTGCTTCCATACACAAGCAAAATTTCCATAAGCGAGCAGACCTCAAGGCAGGTCATAGCAGCTCTCCTTATTTAGTCTGTCTCCCTACGATCCCCGTTGGGGAGGGGTACCTTTAACAGCGTTGTCATCGCCTTGACTTACACGATGAGCTACGCAAATCGTGTAAAGATCAGACCAAGAAATGGTACCGTTGATGATTCAACGAAGATTGCTCTTGCAACTGTTGTTCAGGGAGCACTGGAAGTAAAATTCAACACCATATTGTCACTGAAAGAAGCATTCATTGTTGTGTGTCACGATGCTGAAGCAGAGAAGCTACTCGCTACAGAAGCCATCACTACTCTTACTACTCAAGGGTTTACTGTTACGTCATCTCCTGCCCTCAGGGCAAGGAAATCAGTATTCCTAAAAAAACTGGACAAGATTCTGACGTCTCAAACACCTGCTGAACTCAAGTCATCCATCGAGACGCAAAATACTTGGGCTACTGTTGACAGCATTACAAAAATCCCAAATGCAACGTCCATGATCAAGGTCACCTTCACCGACGTGAACATGGCTGCCACTGCACTGAACGAAGGTCTTGCTGTCTACTACTACTACATCAGCCCTACCTACATTGAAGCAGAGAGATATCACTGCATCCAACATTGCTGGAACTGTTATTCATACCATCACACCACCAAAGCATGTCCAGTAAAAGACAAGAAGTTCTGCACTACATGTGGTAGTGAGGGACATGCCTTCAGTTCCTGCACCGCTGCTGCTCCAACACAACCAGCGTGCTTAAACTGCAAGAGTAATGATCACCATACACTGGCAGCAAAATGTCCTACAAGAAAGGATATTATGAAGAAAACACAAGATGCAGCAAAGAAAAAACCTTCTAGCAACACTCCAAGGTATGCAGCAATTGCAAAAAACAAGCAGACACTACAAAATTACTTCAAGCATCTACTCAGCCCGCCTCCACCACCACCACTACCATCACTCCTCCAACATGTGACGTAACGAAGATTCACTACTGTCTACTATACGCTCATGTGCAAAACATGGCTGTACCTGGATCATTAACTCTACCATCAACGAGTTATTTGCATTAAATAACATGCCTTCATTTACATTTCCAGCATCTCCACCTTCTGAAGAAATTCTCAAATTCACCAAAAACTTAAAACGCCAACTCTTCTGCAGAAGTTCCATCAACACCACCAACTAGTGACGTCAATCCAACAATGACCAATGAGAAGCCTCCACCGCCACCACCTCTCACTGAATCCAACAAATCAGAAGCCTTACCACCAGAAACATCTTCTAATTCGTCTACTGAAGTTGAAAACGAAGCAAACACCACCTTCCTCTACTCCACCACCGCCTTCTCTACTTAACTCACGTCGATTACCTGGAAACACCATGGGTTAAACACAAAGGACTCATATTCTACACCACGAGGCTGTACCCTGCAAGCATGACTCGCCTAGAACTCGTCCAACATCTCTAAGACAACACTGTATCGTACCAAAGCGAAGAAAGACCATTCCCTACCTACAACCAGATACTCCACCAACTCCAAACCAACGAATACTACTACAGCTCTCCCATAAGTGTGATACAACTCTCCGAAAACAATTTACCGCACTGATAAACGGTTTAAGACCATAACCAACTCATCCTGCTTGCTGCCTTCTGACACTCCCAGCTCCTACCGCTGCCTTCGCCATCCTCTCCTAGTGAGCCAAGCAATGACATCAGTCAAGCCTCTCTATCTATGTCTCCAGTACTTTTGTACCACATGTCCCAAAGTGGTTGGGCCACTTGCCTTGATTCTTTCCCCTTCCCCTCCTCCCCATCCTTTTCCAGTTATTTCCATCCTTCCATATCCTCCTTCCTTCCCATCTTACGACAGATCTCGTCGTCCTCGATTCGATTCGGTGAGGGGCTCTTGCTCTTGATCTAGGGAATTGCATCTCATTTGTTTGTTGGACTATCTTAATGAAACTTGGGCAGTGTATGATGGAAAGATGCTTCTTAATGTACAAAAAAAATGAAGAAATCGGACCATAAATAATGGAGTTCCTTTCAGAATTTAGCCACCCCTTAGTGGTATTTTTGTATGGATTTTATGGTTGTATTCTCGTTTTTTGGTCTCATTTGATAGAATGGAAGATATATTACAGAAATAGATATGATTTTGATTGCTTTCACGATGAAAAGTACCTTAAAATTTGAGCTCAACGAGGGAGAAATGCTCGTTTGCTTGACTGTTCAAGAGTAAACAAAATGAAGTCACTGTCCATTCCAGTATGCAGTTGTGAATGGGTTGACATTATTTATAAAATTATTGCAATAAGGCATAGTAGTAAATCTTATATTTTTAGTGTGAATAAAAATTACAAATTATTTATAAAATAATAAAAATAATAATATGTACGGTAAAAGTAGGTCTTAGACAGGGATGTGTAATGTCACCATGGTTGTTTAATATATTTATAGATGGGGTTGAAAAGAAGAAAAATGCTAGGGTGTTCAGGAGAGGGGTGGGATTAAATTATGGGGAATCAAATTCAAAATGGGAATTGACACAGTTACTTTTTGCTGAGATACTGTGCTTATGGGAGATTCTAAAGAAAAATTGCAAAGGTTAGTGGATGAGTTTGAG